ATCAAACAAGTCTACCAGTGACATTGAAGCAGTTAGGTAATGGGAAAGGGCAGGTTGCTGACATTATGTATTTCCAGAGGATGGGAATGGGCAGGAATGACAACAAATTGTCACACATCTCTGAGCTGCTATTTCATTTGTTATATTAATCACGTATCATTTGTGTAATGAAAATATTATTAATCAAGGAGATTGTTAAAGTGAAGCAACTACTTCATCAATTTTAAAAACACTAATTGAGAGGATGCTGGAATATAATGCTCAAAGTCAACCATGTCGAAAAGATGAAAATTCTAAATACCAATTATTAGCTTATAGCAGAAGGTTTATGAGTCAGAAGCAGCCAGTTAGCTTCTAGGATTTTATAACATTTCTCTGAGCCCCTATACAATGGAAGAGCCCAGTGTACTCCCCTGTAATTAAATAACATGGGTAATGACTAAGCACAGTGCCTGGCACTAGGAAGTACACTACCACACAATGTGTTCCCATATTAGCAAGATAAGTTACAGCTCACAGATGGGACCATCTGTCTTCCTAGGGTAAATATCATATACATTATTAGAAGTCAGGATGTAAGACTTATGTTGCTCTCCTCAAAGAGTAACATATTCCCCTCCTGAGATCTTCTGCCCTGTTCTTCACCAGAGGTCACTATCTCTAAACCTCTCCCATTATTGCTTCTCGTTGTTGTTAGATGTCATCAAGTTGGTTCCGACTCATAGTGACCCGATGCACAACAGAACGAAACACTGCCCAGTCCTGTACCATTCTCACAATTGTTTCTACGTTTGAGCCCACTAGTACAGCCCCTGTGTCAATGCGTCTCACTGATGGTCTTCCTTATTTTTTGCTGACCCTCTGCTTTCCTGAGCATGATGTCCTTCACCAGGGACTGGTCCCTTCTGACAACATGTTAAAGTATGTGAGACAAAGCCTCACCATCCTTGTTCCTAAGAATATTCTGGCTGTACTTCTAAGAAAGATTTGTTTGTTCTTCTAGCAGTCCATAGTATATTCTATCTTTGTCACCAACACCATCGTT